CGCTCGGCGGAGAGGCGAGGCCGATCGGCTCACACCCGCCGAGGGGAGGAGGGGCCGGCCGAGCCTTGGCCCCGCGCGAGTCACGTGCCCAAAACACGCTCACGTGACGCGCGCGCCCCGCCCCCGCGCCGGGCCCATGCGCGGAGAGGTCGGCTCGTCGGTGCGAAGGGACTGTTGCTCCCCGGGCCGTGGGCGGTCGGGCCGCCCCCTCCGCACGCACAGCCGCCGCCTCGCTCGACTTGGCCTTCGCTGGGCTGAGGGTCCGCGTCGGCCAGCCAATCAGGAGCCCCCGCTGCGGGTGCGTTGGCTGTCACTCATCTGTCATCCGTCAGTCAACCGCGTCTGGCCAGGGTCCCCCAAGTGTCAATCAATCTGTCATCCTGCAGGCCGAGTGCTGCATTTATGCCTCTGTTCTTACGTTCGGTGATTCAGTCATTCGTTCTCATACCTGAGAGTCCACACAGCCGTCCTTTCTTGGGGCCAGGCACTGTGCCAAGCAAGCCCTTGGAGGGCCAAATCTCCTACCCCATTCTTGTCTGCATTTAAAATCAATCAATATAGACATTGGGTGCTCGTTCTGCTAGATCTCTGCCTGCTGGGAGCTTACATTCTAGAGAAATTCAAGCCATGCACGACCTACGCCAACAAATAAAGGAAGATCATTTTAAATGCTGCCAAGTGTTTGTGTTTTTTTTTCAAAGACAGTGACACCTGGGTACTACAGAGAGTGTGGGAGCTCCTTTAAAAGGAGTCGTCTCTGAGGGAAATGACATTTGAGCTGACACCTGAGGGTGATACCTGAAGGAGTTTGCCACAGAGAGATGTGGGGGAAGAGAGTTCCTGGCAAAAGGCCCAGCAAGAGTGAAAAACTCAGGCAACAGCCCATGTGAATGACTGGAGAAGTAACATAATCGTGCTAGACTAGAGACCCACATAGGGAGGTCTGGTGGCCTGGTGCTAAGGAGTTGCACGGCCAACCCAAAGGCATGCTGTTCAAATTCAACCAGCTGCTCTGGGAGAAAATGGGCAATCTCCTTGAAATCTGAAAACCTGCTGAGGGTCAGCTATGAGTCAGTTCTGAGACTCCATGGTACATAACAACAGAGACCAACCTGGTGAACCTGGGACTAGGAGGAAGGGAAGGGAGAGAGAGGAAGTGAGCCTTTGGACATTGGACAATGCTTCCCCTTGGAGTGAATGAAAGTAATAGCCCTGGTAATGCATCTGACTGCTAACTAAAATGTCAGAGGTTTGAATCCACCTGCCTCTCTGAGGAAGAAAGATGGTCAATCTCCACCAGTAACAGTTTACACCCTCAGGAAACCCACTGGAGGGTCTCTATGAGTCAGAATCAACTACCCAGCAGTGAGTGGAGTGCATGTGTCAATATGAAAAAGGCTCATTATGGGGGGGGGTGGAATTTCCAGTAATAAGAGAAGAAAACAGACTGTAGGTTTAATTGCCTCCATGACTTTGATATCTATGAAACAAGAAGAAATAGTGCCCTGTTACTACTCCTAAATGTTTTGATCCAGGACCTAGTGGATAGATCCTGATTTAAAAATGAGGAAGCATAAAACAGAAGTTCAAACTCATATGGAAACCAGACTTAATGGATCCATTGACACTGGGGAATCTCTGAGTCTAATGCCCAGAAACAATCCTTAGGCCTTAAACTTAAGCCATCCCATGAAGCCACCATTAAATAAACCAACTATCCCAGTTAATAAAGAATAATTATACAGAACTACCTATCTAGGAGAGTAAACTGAAAACAGTTCATCTAAAACCCAGGTGGGAACTTTTAAGGGCAGAGAGTCTCAGTGAATGTTGATGAGGTAATATGGGGGGAGAGAGAAATCACACTGTGTAGTGTGTGACTTGTTGCTGAACTCTTCATGTAGACATTGTGAGTGGACGTGTTTCATCATACAGACTGTTGTTAGGTCCTGCTGAGTAATCTATAACTGATAGTCACCATGTTGAGAACAGATCTGACCTTGCCCTTGACTGTACCACCATCATGACCGAGCCCATTGTCAGTGTCAGTCCACCTAACTCAGGGTCTTCCTCTCAAGGTGGCGGTCAATTAAAAAGAAATAAAACATGCAGTCACTATGTTTCTAAATCAGAGTGATCGATCGGTACTGCTCCTTCAGACTTTAGGATCCCCTGTGAGGAGTAATCACACAAGCCAGGATCCCCTTGAACTCTTGGTCTCCCATGAGAAGAGGGGCCCTACACACCTGAAACCAAGCTCCAGTAGCTTACCCAACTCCGGCACAGGCCGGGATCAAGAGCTGCTCCAGTTTCCCAGGGCCTGCCCAGGCTTATGGGGAACATCACACCCTGAATCTATCTTCAAATGGATCAGTTGGCCAGTGCCCGTACATCTGCTGCTTGCCTGTTCCCCAAGGGGAAACCTTTCATGAGAAAGCCAAGTACACTTTTCCTTCAGAGGCCAGCTCTCCTTCCTCCTTCCCTCCCCTGCTGGGTGCCAGGACCAGTCAGGCTCAACATGTTTCCTCTGACGCTCCAGCAGAGTCCTGGGAAAGGGCCAGCTGATAAGATCGAGATCCTGGAGATGCTTGAGGCAGGGCCTCTGAGAAAATATCAAACCACCTGGATCCCTTCCTCTCTCCACTCGAGAAAGATACTGGACTGTATATATCTGCCCAGGCGTCGACTACACTGGATCTGGGCATCCCACAGGGAGATGAGAAAGCAATGAGCTTAAATTTTTGACGTGTGTTCGATTCTGACATCTTCGCTAAGTGCTTCTACAAGAAACCAACTAACTGCCCTCTTGAACATAACACGTGGTCCTTGTGATTCTCCAAGGGGGCATGAGCGAGGCTCCAGGCCCCGCGGGCAAGGCCAGAGGGACGCCTTTGGCACAAAGGACTCTGGGAGATGGAGCAGCCCTTTCTCTGGGGAGCAGAGAACGAAACAGGCCAGACGTGTCACTGAGTAAATGAAAAGGGCACGCGGGGTGCCCTGGGCGATTCGCTTGGGCTTTGCTTCCCAGTGAGTCATAGCACACTCTGCCATGGGAAAAGCTGGTGTCTGCTGGATGAAACCAGGAGATGCTGAAGGAGGAAAGTGGAGAACTGTCCAGAGAAGCCAGTCTTGCCCCTGAGACCGATCTGGTGGAAGGCAGGAAGGAGAAAAGGCTCAGATGAGGGTGATTAGCTGCTGTCAAGTCAATTCCACGTCATAGTAACCCCACCACGCCTGTCAGGATAGAACTTGGCTCCATGTATGTTTCCAGTGGTTTTTCAATGGCTGCATCTTTTGGAAGCAGGGGTCTGTCTTCCAAGATACCTCCTTCAAAACCCTTTGCCACTGAATCGGGACAGACTCATAGCTGACCCTCCTCTACTGGGTTTCCATAACTATAAACTGGGAAGAGATTGCCTACCTATCTTTCTCCCAAAGATCCACTGGTGGATTTGAACTTCCAGAGAGGTGTGGCCTTTCGGGTAGGCAGCTCAGCTCGGAGCTCCCTGGAGCATCTCCCAGTGGGCTCGCATTGCCAGGCTCTCATTTAGTCCTGAAGCACTTCTGCATTGATGACACTCCCTGGAGAGTGGGAGTGTGGAGCCAGAAACAAAAGGAAACCTTTTCTTCTTTACATCCAAACCCGGAGACCCTAAGAGTGTCTCCCAGGGAGATGAGGAGAATACAGATCTTATTAGAAGCCAGACAGCATGTGACAGAGCTGGGACGGTGGCCAGGTCACAGGAAACCTGTGCATTGTGGTTCCAGGGGGAACAAGTGTGTACCTCGGAGACCAATGGCAAAGGCTAACATTGCTGAGAGGTAGAGAGAGGGCCCCTTTGTCTCCTGGTCAAAGTCCCTGCCTCCTTGGAGTCTGCCCTCCCCTCCCCAGGAAGGGACTGAAATGAATCTGAAGCTTCGAGACTTGGCTGGAGGCCACCCAGCGTGTGGTTCTGGGGAGCAACTCCCAGCCCCTCTGGCCCCAGTGGTCAGCTCCGAGCTGGAGCAGCCTCAAGTGTACCGACAGCACCCCCCCCCCAGGCCTTAGCCAGGCAATCAAGTGTGCTTGGCAGGAGATGCCAGGACTCACCTGCCCCTCAGGAGGGGTACTCAGCTCCCCCAGAGGTGAGAGGGCCACGGTTTGTGCAATGTTTGTTGAAAGAGTCCGTGCAAGTTCCTCTAATTATCACCATGGTAATTACAGGCTAGCTCCTTCTGCTGAATGAGTTCAAAAGAGACTTGGTGACTTTCCCCTGGACACATCACACGCCTCCAGCACAGAGCCCCTGGGAGGACGCGGTACTGGGCCAGGCTGGCCTGCTTAGGTCCTGCTTTCTGAGGGATCAAAGGCGCACGGCTGAACCTCCTTAGAGTGTGCCCATGGCCTTTGGTGACCCAGCATCTGTTTGCCACTCCAGCCCAGTTTCTAAGCTCTGTCATCCACCAAGGAGCACAGGCGGCTTAGCAGTAAGAAGATGCACTGCCAACTTAAAGGCACATAGTTCAAATCCACCTGCTGCTTCATGGGAGAAAGATGGGCAGTCTCCTCCCAAGAAATTTACTGCCTCTGAAAACTGGCAAGAGGGTCAGTTCCTACCCATTTGTACATCATAACCATGCAC